GACTAAATAATATGCTACTGAATGAACAATGGGTTGCAAAAGACATCAAGGAGAAGATTTAAAAATTCTTGAAGTGTATATGAGAACACAGATACAACATATTAAAATCTCTGGGACACTATGAAGAAAAGTACTAAGGGGAAAGTTCATTGCATGGAGTTCATTTCTTAAAAGAAGAAAAAGTCAACAAATAAATGACCTAACATTATATCTAAAAACCCTACAAAAAGAAAAACAAACCAACACCAAAAGCACTAGAAGGCAGAAAATAATTAAAATTAGAGCTGAAATCAATGAAATTGAAGCAAAAGAATTGAAAAAAATCGACAAAACAAAAAGTTGGTTCTTTGAAAAAATAAATAAAATTGGCAGACACTTAGTTACACTAAGGAAAAGAAAGAGAGAAACTCAAATTACTAACATACATGATGAAAAAGGTAAAATCACAACAGATACTACAGAAATACAGAAGTTAATTAGAAATTATTTTGAAAACTTGTACTCCAATAAAATAGAAGATATTGAAGGCATCAACAAATTTCTTAAGTCATATGATTTGCCCAAATTGACTCAGGATGATATACACAATTCCAACATACCAATATCAAGCAATGAGACAGAACATGCCATCAGAACCTACCAACCAAGAAAAACCTAGGACCAGATGGATACACAGCTGAGTTATACAAGACCTTTAAAGAAGAACTAATAACAATACTCTTCAATTTATTTCAGGAAATAAAAAAAGAGGAAACGCTTCTAAACTCACTATACGAGGCCAATATCACCCTGATCTTCAAAGAAAGAAAACCTTAGACCAATATCTCTACTGAAAATAGATGCAAAAATTCTCCATAAAATTCTGGAAAATCAAATACAAAGACATATCAAAAAGATCATGCACCACAATCAAGTGGGATTCATCCCAGGGATGCAACGTTGATTCAACATACATAAATCAATAAATGTAATTCATCACATCAATAGACTAAAAGAATCATATGATCATCACAATAGATGAAGAAAAAGCATTCAACAAAAAACAGTACTCCTTCATGTTAAAAATACTAGAAAAATTAGGGATAAAAGGAAAATATCTCAACATCATAAAGGCTGTCTACACTAAGCCCTAGGCCAACATTATTCTAAATGGAGAAAAACTGAAGGCATTCCCTCTAAAAACTGAAACAAGACAAGGATGCCGTCTTTCACCACTTCTATTTAACATAGTTTAGGAAACACTGGCCAGAGCAATTAGACAGACATAATAAATTAAAGGGACCCAGATAGGAAAAGAAGAACTCAAATTAGCACTATTTGCCAATGATAAGATTCTATACCCAGAAGACTCAAAAAATTCTACCAGAAAACTTCTAGAAGTAGTTAATAGAGTCAGCAAAGTAACAGGATATAAAATTAACACCCATAAATCAAAGCCTCTGAAAGGGAAATGAGGAAAACTACCCCATTTACAATAGCCTAAAAAAATACTTGAGAATCAACTTAACAAAAGAGGTAAAGGATCTATACAATGAAAACTACAGAATCCTAAAAAAAAAAGAAATCAAAGAAGACTTTAGAAGATGGAAAGACCTAACTTGCTCTTGGATAGACAGAATTAATATTATCAAAATGACCATACTACCAAAAGCACTATAAGATTTAATGCAATTCCAATCAAAATCCAAATGGTGTTCCTCATAGAAATAGAAAAAAATAATCATGAAATTCATCTGAAAAAATAAAAGACCCAGAATAGTTAAACAATCCTTAGCAAGTGGCATCACTATACCAGATCTTAAACTATACTACAGAGCAATGGTAACAAAAACAACATGGTTTTGGCATCAAAACAGACTGGTAGACCAATGATACAGAACAGAAGACACAGAGACTAAAACCACAAAATTACAATTATCTTATATTAGATGAAGGTGCTAAAAACATACATTGGAGAAAAGATAGCTTCTTCAATAACTGGTGCTGGGAAAACTGGAAATCCATATGCAACAAAATGAAATTAAGCCCCTATCTCTCTCCATGCAAAACAAACAAACAAAGAAAAAAAAAACACCTCAATTCAAAGTGGATGAAAAACATAAGCATAAAATCAGAGATCCTGTGCCTAATAGAAGAAAAAGTAGCTCCAAATCTCCAACATGTCGGATCAGGCCACAATTTACTTAAGAAGACTCCTATACTCCTATACTCTTATATACTCTTAAAATCAAGAATCAATAAATGGGATGGACTCAAACTAAAAAGTTTCTTCTCAGCAAAAGAAACAATCTGTGAGGTGAATAGAAAGTCTACATCTTGGTAGCAAATTTTTACCCCTCACACATCAGACAGAGCCCTAATTTCTAGGGTATATAAAGAACTCAAAAAGCTGAACACCAAAAAATCAAATAATCCAACCTGAACAGACACTTCTCAGAATAGGATATACAATTAATCAACAAATATATGAAAAAAAGTTCATCATCTCTAGCAATTAGAGAAATGCAATTTAAAACTACTCTAAGATTTCATCTCACTCCAGTTAAAATGGCAGTTATTATGAATACAAACAACAATATTTTGGCGAGAATGTGGGGGAAAAGGTACACTCATGAATTGCTGGTGGGATTGCAAACTGGTTCAGCCAATATGGAAAGCAGTATGGAGATTCCTTGGAAAACTGGGAATGGAACCACCATTTGACCCAGCTATCCCTCTCCTCTGTCTATACCCCAAGGACTTAAAAACAGCATACTACAGGAACACAGTCACATCAATGTTTATAGAAGCACAATTCACAATAGCTAAACTGTGAAAACCAACCTAGATGCCCTTCAGTAGATGAATGGATAAAGAAAATGTGGTATATTTACACAATGGAATTTTACCCAGCAATAAAAGAGAATAAAATCATGGCATTTGCAGGTAAATGGATGGAGTTGGAAAAGATAATGCTAAGCGAAATAAGCCAATCCCCCCCAAAACAAATGCTAAATGTTTTCTCTGATATATTGGGGTAAGGAGGGGGAGAATGGGAGAAATAGTCAAACTATACATAGGGCAGAAGGATGAGAGGGGAATGGAGGGGCACGGAGGTAGAAATGATGGTGGAATGTGATGGACATCATTATCCAAAGTACATGTATGAAGACATGAATTGATGTGAATATACTTTGTATAAAACCAGAGATAAAAAAAAATGTGCTCTATATGTGTAACATGAATTATAATGCATTCCACTGTCATATTTTAAAAAATGAAAAAAAATCACCAAAAAAACCCTCAAATAACCCAATCAATAAATGGGCAAAAGAACTAATCAGACATTTCTCAAAAGAACAATGGCCAAAAAACATATGAAAAAATGTTTTACCTCCTTAGCAATCAGGGAAGTGCAAATCAAAACTACATTGAGATTTCATCTCACCCCAGTTAGAATGGCAATCACGAAATCTACAAATACCAAAAAATTTTGATGAGGATATGGGGGAAAAGGAACAATCATGCATTATTGGTAAGGCTGCAAATTGGTATAACCAGTTTGGAAAGAAGTATGAAGATTCCTCAAGAGACTAGGAATGGAACTACCATATGACCCAGCTATTCCACTCCTTAATATTTATCCAAAAGAACTCAAAATCAGGATACTATAATGCTTTGTACATACTAATGTTTATAGCCACACAATTCACAATAGTTTAGTTATGGAACCAACCAAGGTGCTCATCAACATTGAATGAATAAACAAAATGTGCCATATTTACACAGTGGGGTTTAATTCAATCACAAAGAAGAATAGAATCACATCATTTACTGGTAAATAAATGGATGGACCTGGAGAACATCGTGCTAAGTGAAATAAGCCAGACCCTGAAAATCAAAGGTTGAATGTTTTCCCTCTCATAGTTAGAGAGGGAAAAAAGAAAAAGAATTTTAAGATAAAGGGGGGAATCTCGTGAAAATAGAGGGAAAGGGAAAGCAATAGAGTAAAGGAAGGAACTGGATAGGGAGGAATGAAGGGAACGGGTAGGGAAGTACTGAGTAACAAAATCTACCAGATTGTGCTATGTGCATGGGTGATATGGCACACATTCCATTCTTATATGTAATTATAATGAAGCACTGCAAATATTTTACATGAGGATGTGCAGGGGCTGGAGGGGGAAAACGGTACCCTATTGATAGGAATGTGTAGTGGCAGACCAGCAGCCACTGCAGCAATCCTAATGATGGTACAGAGCCCCTGGATTCAACCCACAGTACCTCAAAACAAAAAGAAAGGAAAAAAGGAATAATAAGGTTGTTTCTGCATGCCTTAAGGGCACAGCAGAGATGGCATTTTCTGTCTGAATGCCACAACTATTCTTAAAAGAGAAGTTGCTTTTGCGTTTGCTTTCAGAGAGTTTTTCCTGAAGGTTTTAGGTTCTAGGGACACAGAATCTACTAAAAACTATCCTTCGTGGCAGGCTAACAACTGCCTTCAACCACGTTGATTTCAGACTGGACTTTTTGGGGGGAACGAAATTCGTTGGTGTTTTTAAGATGCTTAAACACTTGAGCCCAAAAAGTTCCCAGAGGAGGCAGCAAAGAGGATGAGGCTGCAGGCCCCAATTCTACCCTTTGCTTTGGGTCCACCTTCTCTGCGTAATAGCCAGGGCGGCGTGAGAGGGAGACTGGGAGGGCGGAAGCCAGTGGCTAGGGGGCAGCAGGAGTCCCCGTTCTGCGAAATCGAAATCAAAGAAAGTGGGACGAGAGCAGTTTCCCGCCACCGCAGTGATCCTAAAGAAGATTCTGGGAGGACAGCTTAGGGAAAAAAAGGAGGCAAGCGACTGGACGCAGGAGGAAAAGCGATGCAGGGGGCGGAGCTTCTGCCTTTAAGGGCTCTGACCAGGGGAGAGGTCTCCAAGTGCTCCTGAGCACCAGGACTCCGGCAAGAGCCTTGCTCTTTACTCTCATTCTTCGCATCCAGACTTTGCTCCCGCCTTACTTTCTTTGGGCAGCGCCGGCTGTAGACTTGCGGGAACAAACTTACCGGGACACCTCTCTCCCCTCCTCAGTCCCCAGACTTCCCCTGCGGGCTATGTGCCACCGGTTCACTTCCCCGCAGCAGGTACTGGACCCTGCCACTGCCGTGGGAGCCACGGGACCGAAGTAGCATATGGAGTGGAAAGAAAAGAGAAAAAAAGTTTGGACAGGCAGATGAAAGGGAGTGAGATGGTTTGGTGTAGGTCCCAAGTGCCACCTCTGTACAGGAAGTGGGGTGCAGGCAGGCTTCTGCCACCGCGGCGATCCAAAGGATGATTCTGGGAGGACAAGGTGGGCAGGGCAGCTCGGAAGGCAATGCGAAGGGAGGAAACTATGCCCAAAAGCCAGAGGCAGGGTGCTGCAGGGGGCCGGGCCTGGAGCTTTAAAGGTTCTGACCGCCGCTTAGGTCCAGCAGCGCTCCCAGCGCCTGAAGGATGGCAGGTGCAGTCCTAGCTACTGTTATTCTTAGCACCCAGGCTCTGCTCCCTCCTTACTTTCTTTGCTTGGCGCTGAGTGAGTTTCCGGATCGAACTTGTGGGGATACCTCGGTCCCCAGACTTTCCTTGCGGGCTCTGTGCCTGGGATCTACTTCCCCACAGTAAGTTCTTGACCTCAAGCTGTGGTGGAAGCCGCCAGATCGAGGTAGCCCAGGGAGCGGAAAAGAGAGAAAAAAGTTAGGGAGGGAGCGGGATGGCAGGAGAGAGATGACAGGAGAGAGCGAGATGTACCACCTCCCTAGAGGAAGTGGGAGGCGAGCAGAGTCCTGCCACCAGGGCAGTACAAAGTAAGATTATGCGAGGACCGGAGCGCCACGGTGTCCTGGGAAGCGGGTGGGTAACAAGGAGGCGAAACTATGGCTAGATGCAGGAGGCAGGGCGCTTCGGTGGCGGGGCCTCAAGCGCTTAGGCTCTGACCCTGAGCAGGTCCCTCAGCGCTCCTGAGATCCTGAAGGATGGCAGGTGTAGTCTGCGCTACTCTCATTCTTAATATCCAGGCTCTGCTCCCACTTTCTTTGGAAGGTCTGGACAGTAGAGTTGCGTGTAGAAATTACAGGAAAACCTCCATCCCCTCCTCAGTCCCCAGACTTCCCCTGGGGGCGTCGTCCCGCTGGTCCACATCACCGCGGGGGTTCTCAACCCTGTCACTGCAGTGGGAGCCGCCTGACCAAGAGAGCCCAGGGAGCGGAAAAGAGACCAAATAGTTAGGCAGTCAGATGGGAGGGAGGGAGGGAGGGAGGGAGAGAGAGAGAGAGAGAGAGAGAGAGAGAGAGAGAGAGAGAGAGAGAGAGAGAGAGAGAGAGAGAGACCCCAATGCCATCTCTATACAAGAGGTGGGACGCAGGCAGATTCCTGCCACCACAGGATGATTCTGCAATGACTTGATGGCCCGAGCAGCTGGAGGGCGCCCTGCGAGGGGGTTGGGGGCGGGAGGAGTGCAAGAAGTAGGCGAAGCTGCTGGGGCGGGGCCTCGGATATTAGAGGTTCTGACAGCTGTCCAGGTCCCACAGTGCTCCCCAGTGACTTAAAGATGGCTCCTACAGTCCGCGCTACTCTCACTCTTTTCATCCAGGCTCTGCTCCTGCCTTACTTTTGGGGGGAGGCGCTGGCAGTAGAATTGCGGGATTAAATTTACAGGAACACCTCCATCTCCTGCTCAGTCCCCAGACTTCCCCTAGGGGATCCGGCAAGCTGGTCCACGTCCCGCGGCAGGTTCTCCACTCTGAACCTGTGGTGGGAGCCTCGGGACCTAGGTAGCCCAGGGAGAGGAAAAGAGAGGAATAAGCTAGGGCAGGCGGATGGGAGGGAGCGAGACAGCAAGGGAGAGAGACATGGCTTGGGTGTAGGTCCCCGTTGTCACCTCCGTACAGAAAGTGGTGGAAATGAAGATTCTGCAGGGAAGTGGTGGCCGGGTCAGGAGACGGTGGGCGGAGCTAAGGCCAGATGCACTTAAAAGCAGCTCGCGGGCTGCAAGGCCTGGCTTTTAAAGGCTCTGGCCGCTGCCCAGTCCTGCAGCGCTCCCCAGCACCTTAAGATGGCAGGTGCAATCCGTACTACTCTCATTGGTATCATCTAGGCTGAGCTCCCGCCTTACTTTCTTTGGTTGGCGCTGGCTGGCTGGTGAGTTGCGGAATCAAACTTATGATGACACCTCTGTTCCTCCTCAGTTCGCACACTTGCTCTCCCTGCATCAGGTTCTTGACCCTGCTCCTGCAGAGGCGTCACGGGACAGAATTAGACCAGGGAGCAGAACAGAGATGAAAAAATTAGGGTAGTACCATGGGAGGAAGCGAGATGGCAGAAGAGAGCGAGATGGCTTGGTTCAGGTTTCTGGTGCCACTTCTGTCCTCACTATGGACAGTGCGGAGGGGGGACATTGAGCCTTCCTTCTTCTGTCTTCGGGGGCCCAGGAGCATGAAAGAGCCATAGTGAAAGGTGTGACTTTTCCAGCTGTGGATGGCATTTACTTCTGGACTCCAGGGGCTGTGTTGTGCATTTCCAGGGAGGAATTGCCATGAACTTTGCCCAGCACAGATGCCTCTATCATAGGTCTTCCTGAGTCATAGTGGCAGGCCCAGTCCCTTCCAAGTTCATGTGTTATCTACTTTTTGAAATTTTTCTTTTTAAGGAAAAGAAAGATGGGGGAGGTGTCTCATGAAAATCAAAGGGAGACCAGTAAAGAACCAAGAGAGGGAGGAGAGGAGAGAAAGAGGAAATATTGAGGAATTATATTGGCTATATTCTGTTACTATATTGTGCGTGTACGAATATGTAACAACAAATACAAACATTCTGACAACTGTAATGCACCAATAAAAATAGGGAATTAAATTAACATTTAAAATATCAAAAAGAATTTTCTTACATTTGAAATATCCCTATTTCAATCAGTAGGAAACTAGTTAACAAAAGTATGGTAAATCCATCTACTAGAGAATTATTCAGTTGTTATAAAGAAAGCACATCTGAAATGCATCTGTATTTTTGATAAATAACAAGAGCAAGATGAAAAAATAGAATTTTCTATAAAAATGTCTTTTTTATTTTTTAAGTAGTGCTTTATAACTATACACAATAGGAACAGGGATGTAGTTCAGTGGTAGGGCTGCATGCACCAGACCCTGTGTTAAAGAAAGACCTTAGAAAAAGAATAGGCAGAATTAATATTGTCAAAATGGCCATTTTTTTCAAAAGTGATCTACACATTTGTTGAAATATGAGTGACAACCTTTACAAAAGTAGAGTAAGGGAAACAGACATAAAATTCATCTGGAAGAATAGAAGAACCAGAATAGCTAAACCAGTCCTGAGTAGGAACATGGAAACATGTGACAGTCCCTATCTCAAATTATACTACAGAGCTAGAGAAGAAGAAAAAAACTGCATGGTATTTGGAAGAAAAGAAAAGATATGAAGACCAATAGAAAACAAAAAGAAAAAATCACATTAATATCATCATTTGATCCTTGACAATGGTGCCAAATATATATTTTGGAGATATGACAAGTATTCTAATGGTGCTGGGAAAAGTGGATATCCCTATGTAGGAAATGTAGGAAATGAAACTAGCCTGTCTCTCACCCTGCACAAAAAAAGGTAAATCAAAAAGGATCAAAGACTCAGGATTTAGATCAGAAAGTTTGCAACTCCAAGAAGAAAACATAGGGTCAACACTCCAGCATATAGGTACAGGCAGTGACTTCCTTCACAAGATGCCTAAAGTACAACAAATAAAACCAAGAATGAATAAGTGGGATGCTATCCAATTAAAAAGCTTCTGTACAGCAAAGGAAACAATTAAGAACATGAAGAGAGAGCCTATATGATGGGAGAAAATCTTTGCCAGATGTTCCTCTGACAAGGAATTAATATCCAGAATACAAAAAGAACTAAAAAACTTATTGCCAAAATAAATAAATAAATAAAATAACCCAATCAATAAATGGGTCAAAGAACTAAACAAACATTTCTCAAAAAAAGAAACACAATGGACAACAAATATATGAAAAATATATAACATCCTTAACAATTATGGAAATGCAAGTCAAAACTACATTGAGATTTCATCTCACCCCAGTTAGAATGACAATCATCTAAACTACAAATACCAATAATTGCTGATGAAGATGTGGGGGATACGGTACATTCATACATTGTTGGTGGGCTGCAAATTTTGGTATAATGACTTTGGAAAACAGTATGGAGATTCCTCAAAATATTAGGAATGGAACCGCCATATGACCCAGCTATTCCACTCCTTGATACTGGGAAGTACTGAGTAACAAAATCTACCAGATTGTGTTATGTGCATGTATGAATATGGTGTACATCCCATTATTATGTATAATTATAATGAACCACTGAAAATATTTTACATGAGGATGTGCAGGGGCAGGAGAGGGGAAACACATACAAGATTGGTAGGAGTGTATGTTAGAATGCCTGCTTTTGACTTACAAGAACAGAGTTGAGTGGTTGTAACAAAGACTGCAAAGCCTAAATATATAATAGTAAGCCCTTTACAGAAAATTCCAGGGCCCAGGCTGGAAATAACATAGGAGAGGATAGAGTTGACCCACTAGTGTATCCTTCAAGGTTTTAGGTTGGCACAAATCTCCCTGTGTTCTCAAGGATGAGATATCACTTTAAAAGTAGTGTATGGGGAATGGGGGAGACGGTGTCAGAAGACTGTACTTGGCCTTCCCTTCTAGGTTAGCTCTGATTCCAGCAAGTGACTCACTGTGCCCTAAATCATTTCTATTATAAATTCAGGGAATTTGAAATGACCCCTATTAGCAGGACCTGGAAGAGGTCCCTTCATTCCTGGCCCCACATGGACCTTGTCAGTACCAGGGGGCTGTGGTGATGCTTCAGATGCCTGGATATGACTGTCTCCCAGATAAACGAATGCATGTTTTCTCTTTCTCTATGCACAGAGATCCAAGTGAATGGGTGCATGCCCCAGAGGCAGGCTGAAAGGGGACACTGAATTGACTCTGGGGTTGAAGGGTCCCTCCTGATAGGAGCCTGGCCTCTCCTCCTAGGAATGAGTTCAGGCCCTGAGACATGGCTGAGGTCTGGAAACTGAGTCAATAACCAGACTTTTGGTGGGTGTCAGCTTTCAGCCTC